TTATTATTATTATTATTATTATTTTGGTTGGGAATAACTTGAGAATCATTATAGTGGAAAACATATTCGACTCCAAATCAATTTGTTGTTTTGTTTGATATCATACAACACTGTTACACATGTGCCATTTTTTGCAATCTCCATCATATTTACCAAGCATACTAACAAACACTGAGTATACTTGGTACTATAAATATTTATATATTGCTTAACAGCGATTTAATTTAGAAGAGGAATTTTTATTCAATATGCGTGTATAACGCCCCCGAGTTTAAAAGAGAAGAAAAAAGCTTAAAAAGAGCTGTGAAAAAAACCCCCAGAAGTATGACTACAAAATATAGGTTGGAAGATGAAGCTTCTAACATCTGTCAAAAAAGAAAAAGAATAAACTGGAAATTTTATAAAACTAAATAAAAACTATAAAATCCAATAGTAATATTTGCGCACCTTCTGAAACCGATATATTATAACAATGAAGTAAGAAATAAGCTGTTTCAAATGGTCTAGTATTCAAAAAGAAAACAATACACCAGTTTAAAAAAAAAATGTGCAAATGGTATTTAAGGGACCGATCCAAGGTTATATGGTGTCATTTCCGCAAACGTGAGACAGCGTCTTTCAACTGAGCTGACTGAGGAACATTAAAAGTACTGATAACAAGATGAAATTCAGTGGAAAAATCAACCAGCACGTAGTAGTAAAAAAGAGGAGAAAAAACGGAGAGGAGAAATAATAGTCATTAAGTTCCATTCCGGTGGGAGTAGTTTTTCTTTTGCTCTTTTCTTAAATGCAAAGAAATTAGAACATCGTTAGATGATGTTAACAATTCGAAAAGTGATAGTTGTTATTTTGCGAAAATCTTCAAAAAGTCTAATGCTAATTTTACTCGTGGAATGTAGACGAGCTCAATCCATTTTTTAAAAAAAACACTTTTAACTTTTATTTTGTATTAAATCCTTATGTTTTCTAAATAATCTCTTCCAACTATTTTGATCCTAAGAAAAATTTCGTTAAAATATACATTTTGTTAAAAAATTCAATTTTTGCAATTTCTTAAACTAAATAATTAACACTTGCTGCTTAAAATAATTTCTTCACAACTTAAAAACAAAATACATTTTGGTTAAAAAAAATAACAATTTTTTTCTTTTAAGTGTAATTAACATAAAATAATGATAATTTATTGTGTAAAAATATTTTACACAGATAGAAAAAAAGCTAAAAATTTCGTTATCTATTTATTTTTTCGTTATTACTAATTTTATCTTGTTATTAATTATTATTTATTAAAATGCAGCTGAATCAGAAAATAAGGCAGATATCGTTGCTATTTTTCTACCGTAGCTTAAAAAAACACATTCCTAATCAAAACTATAGCAAGACAATTTTGAACATCAGTTCTTTCAAGAAAGTAATTAAAAACAATTAACTGTCTGTGGGTAAACAGTTTTTTTTTTCCTTACATTTCTTATAAAAGATCAAACGGTTCAATTACTTAAGGGCCCAACGAGAAAGGCTTGTTTTTCCTAGTAATTCAATGGCTTATTCATTAAAACAATGTATATTTACTTTCACACTATTCTTCTTGTTGTGTATTATGTTTAAATAAAGAAAAATTTTGATGAAATCCTTCATATATTATAAGTAACAAAATAATACAATGCTATGTTATGATTTTAAAACTACCAAAACTATACTGAAACAAATTATTTTGTGGTATCATTGTTCATCAATTTCTTCCATGATTTTAGTGTTGTTATACTGTTATAGTTAATTAAAAACGTTATCGATTTATCTATTTGGTTTAATTAGCTGTCGGTTTTATAAAAATATTAGGGTTTAGAAATTTAAGAATATTGATGATTAGGGTTTAGAAATATTTATTACGTTTGAGGATTTTTTCAGCAACGATTTTAAAAAATATCAAATCCATATATTTTAAATAATCTTTTTATAATGTAAGAAAAATCACTATATATAAATCCAATCTATACTTAATCACAAAATCGGCTCATCTACTGCCTCATAAAGAGCATAATTAATAGAAATGGCGACTCTTGTTTAATGTTCCACAAAAGGAGTTCTTTTTATCTGGTCAGTTTTACTAAAACTATGTAATTTTGGTGATAAATAAAAAACTTTGATACTAAATTATTATTTCATTTATTAATATATCTTGTAAATTAATTTAAAATAAAAATCATCATTAAAAAATTCTAACTGTTTGAGAAATTCAGAAGCTTAAAGATAATCAAAACAAATTGAAATAATCGAAAGAGCGATAAAAACTGACTGAAATCAATTATTTTTTATGAGAAATTAGCGTTCCTAAACAGCTAGACCTGGTTTGGAAAGAATTCATTAATGCCGAATTAGATATAAACGACGAATTATATATTAAAAGGAGTTTTTTCTAGAAACAATTTCGAAATAAACATTCCTTATTTTTTATTTATATTTTCATTTAATTATTATTGCTATTAAAGTTTAAAAAAATAAAGCTAAGAGAAAAATTTAGAAATTTACATTATTATAGATGTTTTATTTTAAATATATCAATGCTTAATTTATCAATATTTTAATTAAAATTTCTTTGAAAAATGTCTTAAAAATATTTTTTAAATTTTTTAATTAAATCCTTAACCGTATTGCAAAAAATAAATTTCTGCTATTGTATTAATAGATCGCATATTTTTAGATTCAAATAGCAATAAAGATGTACATAAAAAATACGATAATATTACTCCATAAAAACTTCGGGTATTAATAACCCTCCAATACCATAAAAGTTTAAAAGCGCTTTACCAATTTCAAATAAATAAATGAACTTGTGAAAACTTGCATAAAACAAAAGGAACATATAAAGAGGAAAACAAGATAAAGTCATACAAAAAATTCGAAACTGGAAACTAATTTAGTATTTCACAAACAGCTCAAATTTAATATAAGCGGACTTGAATTAGCCTATTAAACAGAGAGGCTCCTCATTAGTCATTTTAGAAATTTTTAGGTTAATGCAATTCAAAAAAGATTGTTTGCCATACAAAAAATTAAAAAATACTGCAGACAATCATCTATTAGCTTTATTTTTGGTTTAGAAAAATTCACTATGTGCGAGTTAATGTCAATAAACTTTTAACCTGATAATTCCAAAATGGTTATAAAAAATATTTCATACTTATAATTCGAATAAAAATAAAGTTATCTCATCAAATTGTTTATAAATAGATTAATTAATTTAACATATTAATGAATTAAGTAAGTCATTTATAATTTGAAAAGCAGACAAATATATATCTTATAACAAAAAAAGATCAAATTAATAAAATTCGAAACAAATTTTAAAATAGTTTACGGCTAATAAAATTATAAGTAATACAAGATTTTCAAATAATTAAAGTTAAAATTTCGACTTCCTCTATTATTATCAAAAATGATTCATAAGCTTATTTTTATTTCATTCTTATTTAAAAAGTTCACGTTGGAAAGCATAATTTGAAGAATAGCGTGTAATAATTTATAATTTCAAATAAAATTATTTTAGTTTATTTATTTAAATAATTTTAAAATATAATATGGAAACATTATTATTATTTAACGTTAATTAAAAAAAATAAGTTTAAAACATCCCTATTAATCTCTATTTTTTCCAAAAATAAATTTAAAAAATAATAAAAACGAAAATTTTTAATTTTCTAAAAATTAAGATTTAAACTTTATATAATTTAAAAGGAGGATCTATTCTTGAGAGTAAAAATGAATCAAAACCCAGGAAACAAAGAATACTTTGAAACACATTTTGTCATTTCCATTCATTCAATAGTTTTTATTGTGAAAAATAAATTTATGAAATAATAAGAAAAAGTCCTTATTCTCATTTCTATTTCTCTTATATTAATCATAAGTTACCCAAAGATATGTACTAAAAAGAAACTGACCTGTTCTTAAAAGTAATTCACTAACCCTAATACTGGTAGAAATTACTACAAAGATCTCAATACGTTTTTCTTTCTTTTTTAATTGCTATTCATTAAGAATTTTTATTTTTCCGAAAAATTAAATTATAAGAAATTAACAAAATCTTTACTTTCAACTTCGACATATTTATATTCTCCTAATTATAAACCTTCAAAAAATTTCTAACTCACGGATTAAATAGAAACGGATCTTTTCTCCAGAATTAGCAACCATCCATTCAATTCCAACGTATGTTGTTATTATTATGCATTCTATAACTTTTCTCTTTCTCCGAAAAATAAATTCATAAAATAATAAAGAAATCTTTAATTTTTATTTCCACTCATATTTATTTCCCTAATAATAAAGCTTTAAAATATTAATTCTAAATATTAATTCTAAAATTTCCAAATTTTATCAATGCTTCAATAACATAAACTTGTTTGGAAACGAAGTTCGTCATCGCTATACTTGCAATAACTTTCAGTTCTCCAAAAATAAACTTATGAAATAAGAAAGAAATCTTTAATTTTTATTTCATAAAATCTTATTGGTTCTATTACTTAGTAATTAGAAACGAAGCGAATAAGTACTCATATTTATTTTTCTTATTATAAAATCCTCAAAATATTCTTAACCCATATATGTAGAAAATTTTTCATATGTAGCCAATAATACGGATGTTTCAATCATAAGAACTTAATTAGAAACGTAGCTTATCATCGCTATACATTGAATAACTTTTCTTTCTCCCAAAAATTAAATTTATAAAATAGCAAAGAAATCTTCAATTTTCATTTTTACTCATATTAATTTTCCTGATAATAAATCTTCAAAATATGCGTAACACACACATTAAAATGAAATTGTTCCATTTTCAATTGTTAAAAACCAATCTTTTTTTTTTCCAATTCTTTTTCTACAAAAGGAATTTAAAATATAATAATGAAAAAAAAAATTTTTTTTAATTACTGCCCATTTATATTTTCTTTATAAAAAATCCTTTAAAATATATCCAACTCACATACTTAAAAGTAACTAACCTGTTCTCCATAGTTAAATATCACTCACTCTATTACGAATAGTGACAATATTCTCAAATAGTAAAACCTAAGGAAGTGAAAAAGTACTAATGAGTGAAGGGAACGACCTTGAAGATTTTCTTCATGATCCGTTCATCACCTGTATCAAAATTTCGACTGACTATCTGCAGATCACCTGTTTGTTTTCAATAGGTGTGATTCCTTCCTTGGTTCTACCGCGCAGACTTCCCTCTTCGCGTCATTGGATAATCAATGGCGCATGCGCTGTACAGAACTTCTCAAAAAAGGGTAATTGTTTTGTTTTTTTGTATCGCGTAATAAATTTGCTCAAAGAGGTTAAGTCCATAATTAGAAAAACTACTTATTATGTATTGAATACGATAGTTTTTTTTTAAAATTAGTTTTTAGCAAATTACATTATTCAACGTGAATATATTTGCATCAACACATGAAAGAGTGTCGATGATTTTACTTACCTTCTAAGTAGGAAGTCAATAGTATAACTGAATAAGATAGTTTAGTGTAATTATATTTTTGGAAAAAGTGTCATTCTGCAAGGAGATAAAAGCATCAATATATGAATGAATATGTGAACACATGAATGAAACATGGGGGGTGGGGGAATATATAATAAAAAATTATGAAAAAAGAAGGAAAAAAATTACTAAATTAAAATATTTTTAAATATTTAAAAAATCATTTTTATTTCAAAAAAAGTAAAGATAAAAAGCCGGAAAACAAAAATAATGAAAACATATTATCTCGTCATTAGCTCTCACAATTATATCTGCAGAAAGGATGCTTTCCAATATTGTGTTAATTAAGCCGAAGCAAAATATATCAATACAAAAGTGTGACGAGCACACAAGAAAAATTAAAACGAAAATAGAAAAAATTAAGTAAAAAAAAGTAGAAATAAAACAAATAAAGCAAAAAATAGAAAAGAAAATGCGAAAAGGATACAAAGTGTGAAATATAAAGCGAACGGCGAATTCAGAAGAATTTACATATACCGGTATCGTTCGAAAATGATTGTATTTTCGTAACAAGTTTGCCAGATAACAAAACATACAAATAGAAGCGCAAATGGGTGATTCTTCGGAAACATGACAATTCGGAGAAAAAAATTCAGAGTCTTCAAATTAATCTAAATTTTTTTTTGTATATTTATTTAGTTACATTTATTAATATCTTACAGACAGCAGTGTAGTTTATTGTCACTTTGCTCAAGAAAAAAAAAATAGAAATTCACCAAATTTTGAATACCAGGAAAATGAGATATTAGCTTAGAAGTTAAGAAAACAGTCATTTTAAGCTAATAGTAAGTAACTCAACTTAAACTCGAAAAGACAAAGTTGAAAAGTTAGTTTTAACTTTTTATGTAAATAAATTCCAAAAATAATTATTGTGAACAATTTGAACATACCGTTTCTTCTCGGCTTCTAGTTTTTTTTTCTTAGTTTATTTTTCTTTGATTGTTTTTAGGCTCCATGATGTTTTCAAACCACCTAGTAAAATTAATTTTATACTAATTTACATCAGAAATTTTTTTATTATATTATTTAAATTTAAAATATTTCAAATCATTTTATTTTACAACTTTATCACATTCTTTAATACATACACCCATGTAGAGTTTAAAGATTACGACAGAATTAAACTGTACAGTAATGTTCTTAGCTTATCCTTTATATTTAAACTATCTGCGTTTTGAAAAAAAAAAGCAATAACCTAAAGCCTTTGCGATAGATGGACCATGAATTGTTTAAATTAATTCTTTTATCCACTGTAGAAGAAAATCAAAAGTGTTTTTGCTGTTGATATGTACAGAATAAAATTATGTATACTAATCAATCATTAAATAAATAAATAACTTTGGTTACATACAAGCATATTACAATCTTACATAAACTGGGTATTAGGTTAATATTTGCTTTCCCTCTTAGCATTATACTGTTTAAAAAAATTTCTAGTAATTGTCATTCATAAGCCAGGAAAATGACAGCCAGGATAATGACAATTTGCCATTTTACAGCATTTAACTTTAATTTAAAATTTTTGCCTGAGACGTTTACTTTCCGCAGAAAACAACAGGCTTCCTTGAAATAACTCAGGTAAATCTATGTAGTTTATGCTTTTAATGATTTCAAGAAGACAGGAAAATGACAACATAAAAACCTACTCACCTTTTAAAATTTTTTGAAATAGATTTTGAAGCAGAAAGTTGGTTTTTTATTCCTGAAATAAGACATGTTCTGATAGGATGGTATTCTAATCAATCTCTTAACCTATGATATTGACTGCTGGCCCTATCCATTTTGGTCATAAATTACTAAAAAAAAATGACCAAGAAAATGACTGATTTTCATGTGACAAACAAATTATTGAGAGAGAAAAATTATTTTCATCCAAGTTTTTGGAAATAATACCCTCTGCATGCATTTTAGAAATGCTTACAACGGTTGAGATAAATAAAAAAAAATTATGACATTGAAAAATTTATGGAAAGTTTTGAAGCTAGTTATTATTGGAAATATTGTTTGTGATATGCCAGGAAAATGACATTTTGAAATTAAATAAAATTTTTTTAAATATACAAAATAGCCGATGGTAATGCAAAGTCATTTTAAAATGCTAACAGCAATGCTATTTTTTTTTTTTTTTTTGGAAAAGTTCTTTTAGTAGTATAGTATTAGATCTTGGAGCAAAAGGCTGTCAATTGTCGTATTTCATGAGAATCACCCAAATAGACGTTAGAAGCGCAAAAGGTAGAAGGATACTTTTTATGGCGCGTTCTTACTGCACTACTGAAGCACGTTTGATTTGTTAGTTTCCTTGGATTGGCCGAAAATGGGTGTACGCCGTTATATTTAGTTAACAAAGAAATTTTTTAGTAAATTTATTAATACTATGGCATACAATTAATTCAATGACTTTATATAAAACTTAATTAAATTAGTTGGGTATCATTTGCTTTTTTATCAAATTTTGAAAATGGATCCAAGTTTAGTTACCAAAATATTAGACACACAGGTGATTGTTCTAAATTTAACAGGAATTTTATGAAATTTTTGACTGATAATTTAGTATGAAAATTGTATATTCAATGCTAAATAATAATTACATACTAAATTATAATTACAATAATTACATAATTTTAGATGTTTTTCATCATTTTAATTTTTAACGTTTTATGTAAAGCTAAATTTTTTTTAAATTATACAATATTGTTTGAATTACTGAGCTTAAAATTTTTACTATTTTTTAACTCCTTATTTAAAAGTTCAATAAAGAAGTTTTTTACTGAAAATTGCATAATTAATGAAAGTTTTGTCTATGAGGGTAATTACTAAAATTTTTTGCAGTTGCTTAATTGATCGATAAATTTTAGAAAAATTTGCTAAATTGTAACATATTCTGCATAGTATAATATGTAATTTATATTTCTTTATTATTTATTAAATTAATAATAAACAGCCCATTCTATTAACATGCCCAAAGGTAAAGAGAATTTATTTGATATCTTTAAACAGAAATTATTGAGACGATTAAGAGAGTATTTTAGAATTTTATTAATTCATATATAGTAAATGGGTCTAAATTTTGCGCCTTTTAACATCAAATTTCTTAGTTCTAAGTTTTTCTGTAACATTTAAATTACCAGCAATCATATGTTTATGATATTTATCAACGAATTCGAAATATTTCTCTTCTTCACGGTGTCATTCATAATCGGATCTATTAATTTTCCCTAAATTTTTGCTAACAACATAATAATTAAAAATAGTTCTACCAAGAGATTTATTATATTTAAAGCTAATTATGTTAAAATCTTTTAATGGAAACAAAAAGTTTAAATTTTCGAAATTATTATGAAATTTAAACATATCGAAAATAGGGTTTTGAAAATTAATAATGAAATATAAATTATCAAAAAAATTTTTTTTATTTAGTGAAATTTTACTAATTTTTGCTTGTACAAGATCAAAATAAAGAATTTTGAAGTGCAAATTAATAAGTAATGTATTAATAATGTAATTAAGTTTAATATAAAATCATTGAGTTAATTGTATGTAATTATAATTAATAAATTCAGTTTTGTTAACTAAATTTATATTTTTATCATGAGCAAATCCGTGAATAAATTCAAACAGTTTAATAAAGATTTTTTTTAAAATTAAATGTTAATAATTTCTCTAAAATCATTAAAATTGTGTGGGGAGTGAGTTTTCGACCATGTCAACCTTCATCGATGAAAAGGTACCCCACCATAGAATGCCTATGCCTATGTGAAATGGTTAACTAAGTACCGGCCCCGTTAGGGGCCCCAACTCATTCATCTCTGTGGGGTGAAGCTGCACTGCCGAAGCAGATCTGAAGTAGGTGTTGATTCAGTAGGATAGGTGGGGTAAAAGTTCGTCATGTGTCTGTAGTAAGTTAACATGTCTTATATACTAGTGAATTGGAATTGTATTTTTGTAGTGGAACATACGCTACAGTACTCCCCTACCAGAATTATAGCTGTGATAGAATTGTAGATGCATGGATATCACTAGTTAATTCATTGCTGTTTTGTGAGAAGCGGGAGAGCCGTATTAAGAACACCGTACTTTTGCGAATCGTGAGAGCTGTATTAAGATCACGGTCGTTGTCGCTCCTGTATTGTCGTTAGCAGTCGAGTGTAGGCAAACCGACGTTGTGCGTGATTTAGACGAGACTAAGTAGCAACAGTTCGATGAGGTGGATAATGTCGCAGTCACAAGTAGCAAGTCAACTGTTCCATGTAGACAACCCATCGTAGTAGGCGCTACTGTCTAGGTAGGCGTGTTCATATCGAAGTGAGCGTTTGTGCCAACGTAGGCGTGTTCACATCACGTCCGGAGGTCACCATTGTGGGGAGTGAGTTTTCGACCATGTCAACCTTTATCTATGAAAAGGTACCCCGCCATAAAATCGAGTTAACATGTCTTATATACTAGTGAATTGGAATTGTATTTTTGTAGTGGTAGATACACTACAATTGTATAATTAAAAATCAACTTGATTAATTATAAATTGGCCTTAAGTTCAATTATCTAGTATAATATTATTACCTTATATCCGTCATTTTCGGGTCAATCCAAGGTAACTAACAAATCAAACGCCTTTCAGTACAGCAGTAAGAACGTGCCATAAAAAAATCCCTCTAACCCTTC